TATGCGCCTTCACCAAAAAGTTCAACTACGGTTGAACCAAGACAGGCTATGCGCCTTCACCAGCAAGTTCAACTACGGTCGAACCAAGACAGGCTGTGCGCCTTCACCAACAAGTTCAACTACGGTCGAACTGGGACTCAGGCTATGCGCCTTCACCAAAAAGTTCAACTACGATTGAACCAAGACAGGCTATGCGCCTTTGCCAAAAAGTTCAACTACGGTTGAACCGGGACTCAGGCTACGCGCCTTCACCAAACAGTTCAACTACGGTTGAACCAAGATAGGCTATGCGCCTTCACCAAAAAGTTCAACTACGGTTGAACCGGGACTCAGGCTACGCGCCTTCACCAAACAGTTCAACTACGGTTGAACCAAGATAGGCTATGCGCCTTCACCAAAAATTCAGCTACGGTTGAACCGGGACTCAGGCTACGCGCCTTCACCAAACAGTTCAACTACGTGTTGAGCCAAGATAGGCTAGCGCCTTCACCGAAAGTTCAACTACGGTTGAACCGGGACTCAAGCTATGTGCCTTCGCCACCAATTAACAAAGTCCAACAAACGTCGAACTGGGACTCCGGCTATGTGCCTTCGCCATAAGTCCAACCACGGTCGAACCAAAGACTCAGGCTATGTGCTTCGCCATTAAATCCAACGAGCTGCGACCTCGCTCGAACTACAAGGATGGACGCCTTCGTACTCAACTTTAGCAAGTTCAACCACAGTTGAACGAGACTCAGGCCAAACGCCTTCATCTGTGAAGCAAAGCCGACCTCCAACAATCGAAGCGCAGGATAGGCACCCTCGCCATTCAAGTAAGTTCTCCCAACTCGAATTAAGAGTCGGGCCACGAAAAGTTCGGCCCGGTCAAACTACGAGGCCGGCGTTTTTTTACCATCACGACCGGTAGTTCGACCGCGTCCGAACTGGGACTAAGGCTAAGCGCTGCTATCGCCAAATAACGGCTAAGACTCGCCCCACCGAGTTGAAAAACTAAGGCCATCACCGTCAACGGTCGACCTAGATTGACTACGGTGAGTAAACGACTCGACGACAGTCGAAGTCGCCTACATGGCTAAGGCCACAAATTATATTATGGCTAAGGCCATCGCCGCCAACGGTCGACCTAGATTCGACTACGGTGAGTAAACGACTCGACGACAGTCGAAGTCGCCTACATGGCTAAGGCCATCGAGATTGGGGACACGTAAAGTCCGGCCCCGGTCAAACTACAAGCCGCGTTTCTGTCATAACGGCCGACAGTTCGACGCGCCCGAACTGGGACAAGGCTAAGTGCCGCTATC